GGGGGGGGGGGGGAGGGGGAGGTGACATGTTGCTTCTGTTACAGTCACCTTCAAAATCGTTCTCGAATCGGCGCTTCTCTTCTAGCATTGTTGTTGCCAACTCAACGGACGTGAAGTTCGAGACAGAGCTGCATGGTGGGTAAATTGAGGCGGTCGCTCTTATCACACAAGTGGCAACCTTATGCCCCATGGTCAGTAACCGCACCAGACCGTTCGCTTAGCCAACACGGAAGGACCTTCTCACGAGCACATGAAGCACACCGCACAACAACTACAAACACAACACCAGCAGACATAATCGCACTACTTCATCCAGCAGCGCAATGCTTTCATATCTACGCTACCAGCATGTAGAAGCATTATGGGCCGTCCTACCGCAAAACGATCACGAACGGGGAGGGCTGGGCAAAAGCCCACGAGTGCACCCCACCACCAACACGCGCACCGGGCACCAGCAACGCCAGGTATCACAGCCGACGCGAGCCGACCTCGGCGAGAGGACACGCGCCTAAAAAACAGTGCAGTGAGGTAGCCCCCTTTGCATGTATCCCAACGTGGCATTGTACCAAAAACGGGCACCAACCATGCCAAGAAAAAATTCAAACGAGCCAAAGCCGACATGTCCCTCCCCTTTCTCGCCCCCAAAATATGAGTAACCCCCCCCCCCCCCCCCCCCCCCCCCCCCCCCCCCCCCCCCCCCCNCCCCCCCCCCGTCGCCCCCGCATAGGTTAGGTTGGGTTAGGGTTAGGGTTGGGGTTTTAGTGTTGTTAGGGTTAGGCCCCCAAAAAGGTTCTCACTCTCTAGCTACGGAGTCCATCTCCGGGAAGTGTTGTCTTCGCGAAGGCGCAAACTGATCCCAGCTGACCCGCCACTCGTCGGGCCCGACCTGCACGCATGTACGTATGCGCCCACCGGGGGGGGAGGGGGTCAAGACAGGGGTGCTGCGACCAATAGGCGCGTGCGTTGCGTGCAACATGAAGGGAGTCGGCCTCAGTTAATAGCTCCCCATGGGTTAAGCAAATTGTTTTTTATGTCAACAAGCACAGCAACTCCTGACTCGTGCCACATGTGCGATAGTAGTAAAGAGTCTGCACGCCACTCCCGTTATCATTAACAAAAAGACAAAGGAGCCCCGCGCTCCCGGCACGCACAACTGCCACTACTGAATGCTGCACAACACAGACCTCCACGCCCGACAACATCACTACTGCTGTGCCAGCACCATGGTTGCCCACTCCTGGTTACGAACGGTTGTTGGTTTTCCGTATGTTGTACAGCTGCTACTGCCGGAATACATGCAGCATCCATATCTACCTGCTTGCGGTTCTCCGCCCACGCGAAGGAGCACCGCCTCTTCATCGGCACCTCCATCACGTCCCACAGCACGTACTTCATCGTGGCGGGCATCACCGCCGCCGTCTTTTTGTCCAGCGCGGGTCGCGCGGCCGCCGCGTAGCAGCGCTCGGACGCCGCCGTGACGGAGAGCACCACCGCGTCCACGGCGAGATCTACGCTCTCGGTGTCGAGGTGCCCGTCCCCGTGCGTGTCGAAGAGCGGATACACCGCAGCTGTGGGTGGTGCCGGGTTTTGATTTGCGACAATATGTGTGATGGAGGGGCAGGGAGCAAAGAAATGAGAGCGAGAGAGAGAGCGTAACAAAGAAATTGCGGTCGGTAGTAGACGCCAAGAAACAATGGTTTAGGCCGGGCTTTGATTGCAATATGGGCTTTGATTGCAATATACGTGAGGGAGGGGAAGGAAGACAACAAATAGTTAAAAAAAAGTTGCGGGGGGTAGATATATAGACAACGGATTCGGGGGGGTTATCAGAGGCGATAAATGACGAAAATGAATTGTCTAGATGTGCTGATTTCGTTGCACGTACGCTTGATCCTGCGATTGTGTCCATGGTTCCGATTGATTGGACGCACGCTTGAATCTGCGGCTTGTGTCGCAACAACCATCCTCAGACGGCGAGTCTCCCAAAAACGAACAGGGGTACTGCAGAAGAACAGACAGGATGGACAAGGTATGTGGGGCCAAAAATACGGTCGGAGTGTCCCTCTCTGGCTGTATCGGTTGCCGTGCCTCACCTAACCTATCCTCCGGGGCGGCCAGGTAAGCCGATCTCGTCGCCGCCACCACCTCCCCCAACGACAGCCCAGTCTTGAGCTGCTGCTTACCCAAGCTCGACGACAAGAGTGATAGGAAGTGGCAAAGCATAGCTCTGTGTGCGCCGAGTCTGGCCTGCAACCGAGAAAAAAACAAAGACAAAAACAAAGCGGGACCATGCGAAGGAAAAAACGTACTTCTAAACGAAAAAGTCGACTGCGTGTCCTGCTCACATCCACGTAAACGGATCCAACGACCATGACGACAGGTTTTCACACCACTATCCATGCTTGAACATTTTCAACATACTTCCAAACATTAGGATTCACAAACAAGCAGGGAACCAAAAACACCATCGGTTGGACCACAGCCGAGATGCCCCCACCGCCCTACGCGAGCGCTCCCGCACCTGGTACAAGTCCTCGTCTGACATGTTGGGCGAGACCACCGGCTCCCCGCTAGCATCACCCCCGGCGGCTGCTACCCCGCCCCCCCCTCCCCGTTCCCCCTTCGCTTGCAAGGATTCTTCTGCTTCTGCTTCACCCCTATCCCCGAAGAGCGCGTCTTCCTTGTCCACGACGAGCGCGTTGAGCCTTGCGGACGCCGCCGACAGAAACGCCTCCACTTCCGCCCGCTCCTCCGCCGCTCCGCCTTCGCTCTTCCCGTTGCTGCATTTATTCTCGACCTTCGTTCCCGCTGCTGTTTCCTCTTCCTCTGTCGGAGGACCACCCCCTGGTTGTGGCGTGGGGGAGGCGTCGTCGAAGCCCTGCGAGCGCAGCCACGCCAAGAACTCGTCGCCTTCGCGGGGCTCGAGGCTGCCGTCCAGGGCGGAGACGACGGCCGCGAAGCGCTCGATCACGCCGATCTCGTGGACCCCTTTGATGCGGCGTTTCGTTCCCGTGGGAGAATACATGCCAACCGGAAAAATAGCAGGTGGAGGTGGTGGTGAGAAACGGCGGTACGGGTGTAGCGAAGCGGAGGTGAGAGCTGCACGCACACGCGTTCGAAGCTTCCCCGTGCAATCTGCTGCGAGTCAAAAGCGTCTGCCGAGATTTATCATGAAGATGGTTCACGACGATGGCGCTCATCAAGGCCTCCTCGGCAACCGGAAAACATGACAGTTCCGCGTATGCATTTTTTTTGTCGCAAGAGGAATCCCCCCCATGGGCATCACGACAACACAACCGAAACACAAGTTTGTACTTCATGTACAGTAGAGAGAGCAGGCGTCGTGAACATACTACACTCGCATCGCTTCACTGCAGCAAGCAGCCAGCAGGAACAAAACCACCGGTCCCGGAATCAACAACAGAAAATACTGAAAGAAATAACTGGACTGTTGGTTCTCTCCCCCGCGTCTCACTCCGCCCCCCCCGCCCCCGCGCCAACAAAGACTCACGGATCTTCTCCTGTTTCGCCCCTAGCCTTGTGTCCATGTCGTCCAGGACCCGACCAACAATCCAAAGCTCCTCGGCAGCATCTCCGCTGCTACCACCCCCTCCACCACTGCTTCCTTTCTCCTGCGCCGCCGGACCCGTTGCTGTTGGGGTGGGGGCAGCGCTAGCGGCCGGGGCCGGGGCCGGCGCCGGCTTTGCCGCTGCATGAGGGCGTGAAGAGAAGCAGAGGGTTAGACAAAGCTCTTTGTCGGGTGGTCCGTAGCAGATATATGTGGCACCACTTCGTTAGTCTACGCGCAAAATCGATTAAGCAAACATATGGGATAAAGTATTCAATCCGTTCTTTGGGGTTAGGGTTAGGGTTAGGGATAGGGTCTGCGTGCCCCCTCCCTCTCCTTTTTCTAGATAATCTTATAATCTCTTAAAATCCCGGGTAGGCGGTCCCACCACTTGCAACATAGGTCGACTCAAGAATAGCAGTGGAAAAATTCGTCTGGGAAAACAGCAAACGGTCCCTCTCAATTTAGAGAGGTTTGCGTCTCGTTGACAATGCGATGGCAGTACGTAGACAGATGGCGAGTGCAATTGGTACAGGTCGCGCTTCCGACCACGATGCTACACGCAGCGACGCGCTTAGCAGCGACGCGCTGAGCAGCGACGCCATTGGATCGTGCAACGGCAGCGCACAATGACAGAGCTGTGCCGCACCTGCACCTCAGCAACACACCAACAGCTAGGCAACGGCAGCATTGCTGATGTGGTCATGATGTATACAAAAGGGCGGGCACATCGATACGCAACAAGGACTAAGACGTCATCTGGTCCGACGCAAGCTTGTGTACTGCAATGTACAGCAGTAGTTGTAGCCGGTCGTTTGCGGGAGCTCTCCGCAAGCACGTGCAGCATAGCAGAGAGGCAGGAAGCCTTAACACGGGATGTCCACGAAGTTTACTCGGCCTACAACCAGCGCAACCAATACCGCTAGCTGCAGCAAGCACAGAGCAGCAGATTCTGCCTCCCTGTCTCACTCACAGAGCTGCCGTCGCTGCTGTGGCTGGACCTTCGTGGCCTCGTCGCTGTTGTTGTCGTGAAAGAGGGCGGGTCGACGTGCTTCACGTGCGGCGGCGGCGGCAGAACGAGGCCGGCGAGCGGCTGCAGCTCCCACGACCGTCGCTCCTCTTCGCGCGATGGACAATAACCACACCATAGCTCTCGGTATCGACCTACACCTTCTTGTCGGGCCGAGAGATAAGCACCGGCAAAGGAAACCGCAACAGCAGTGTGTGCCTGATGCCTCCCGTGGGAGCGGAGATGGACGGGACCTCACGTAACGCCTCTATGCATTTTTGCGGAGGAATCTCCCCCCCCCCCCCCCCCCCCCCCCCCCCCCCCCCCCCCCCCCCCCC